AATTTAGGATTTCAACTATTATTTCAATACTGTATCAAAGTGATACTCAGAGACCCACTAGTTTTTTTTTAAACACAGTCGTTGCTTAGCGCTTCTTTCTCCGGTTTTATGCTCACCACAACCTCTAACCCCTACACAACTGTTCAACTTTACAATGATTTACTCGTACTAACCGCAAAGTGCAAAGAACAACGATTACAGGTCTTGTTAATCCTTTACGTAAAAGAGCATAGAAAATAAATTACTCAGACTTCATGAACAATCATTCAAGATACCACTAACAACAAGGGGGACACCGGCATCGAGCTGGTTAACCAAGCACAGACAAAATGGTGCAAGTCCAGCCGATGAAAAGGGATATTATCAATAAACGGGAAGACATTTTGAAGGGGCTTTTTTGAGGATATGGAAACCCTACATAACTTGCACACTAACGCCAGTAGAACTTCGCGAAATCACAGCACTCACGCTGCTGTGCCGATGTGCAAAGTCATTCTGCAGTAGCAGACAAGTGGGACGTTCCATTCAAGATTAAAATGAACAATTGCATTATTAAAAGGTAGAGAAAACTGCACTAGATGAGCCACGACACCATAGGGCTAAGCAAAACTTCAGTTGCAGGAGAACGATTCTTTGCTGGTGAAGAACAAGGCAAGTGAAGACAGTGACTCTATAACACGTATCGAATGTAGGGAACTTCGACGTCTGCATCGGTATTTGGGTCCGTGGCCATCACTTCCAAAACCAACGATCGTTGATGTTTAGGCACCTCTCGCTTTGACACATCTTCCACAACGGATTTTACACTTGAACAGTAGATTTTTCGAGAACTGTAGTCAAAAGAAATTGAAGAACAGAAATACTTACTCCATAGGCATGCGATGAGCACGTTTCTTAGCATCCATGAAGAAAGAATAGATTAACGATACCCCTGACGATAGCATGGTAACTTCAAGACCAGTTTCGTTCTGAAAAGCAAAAAGTTTAAGCAATCAATTCAATTGAAATAAGAACATAAAATTATATGACTCGAATAATTGCGTTGATTCAAGATTGTCAGTGTTTTCCAAATGACTGTTTACTATACCTCAATCCAGTCCACAGCCTCCTGAAGCGATTTTGGTCCTTGAATTTCTAGTCGGTCCCATAGCGTAAAGGTGTTATCATTATACTAAAAATATCAGAGCATCCTTTGAACAAGCTTGGTGATACTAACAAAAAGGAAGAATTCCAACTTTTTTGACTTGTGCAGCGATTGGCTCAGAAAAACCAAAGAACGGTAAAGCAAGGTTGATGAAGCCATTCTTGAAACGATTCATAGGTGTTTTCGGCAAACCTTCGGATGCGATCATCTGCAAGTATTATACTGTTTCAACACTAGCATTGAATCAACATCAAAGAAACTCATGCGTACAAAAAGATATCTTACCTTATACAGCTCAATGCACACTAAACCAGCTACTGTCGCTGTAGTGGTTGCGATTGCAGGAATGATGCGACCAGCTATCTGTTTAGTCTGAAATTGAGAGCAGTTAATAGATGGCAAAACGGTAAGGACTCAACAGGGCAAACCTTCATCCTGTCAGCTGGAGGGATC